TATCTGCCACCATATTCTTACCGGCTAGCAGTTCTGGGGCATCCAAAAAAATAATGCATTATTGTTATTGTTAAGGCTGGAGCGCGCAGTGCGCACGAAAGTGTCGAAGCAGCGGGTTGCGGCTTTTGTAGTGTTAAGCTCGCGAGGAAAAAGATATTGCCATAAAGGGACACTGAAGAATTATCAGCCATAGTTGTGTTGCCTCTTGTCAGCAAAACTTTCTATGTTTACATAACAGAAATACTATTCAATCAATAATAAATATTAATGAAAAATACAGAAATTGAAGCCCATAGTTCCTGCGTAATAAATAAAGCAACTCTACTTGATCTGCGTTACACTGGCAAGATATCCTAATGTGTATGTCATATTACTTCTACGATCCTCCCCTTGAACTTTCCGAGATTGTAACTTAAACGGTCTCAAACACTCAAGCAACTGGCGCCCCTTAATTCGCCGCCACAATTATAAACAAAAACGCGAGCACTGTTCGAATTCTAAGAAGCCTCACCTGCCTTTCAGTCTTTAATGCTCGTATTTATTCCTGTTTTTGTGCTCGTTCTTCTGACGTTTTCACAGAAGAGGAATTCCTACTACGTAATCAAACATGTATCCTATTTTGTGACTTCGCGTTGAAGGTCCCTGATGTTTCGTTAATGAAACTGGTACAACGCCGTCTTTTGAGCAATTTTTCTAACTTTACGCATTTGTTTTTTTGTTCGCTTACTGCTAATGTGTTTATCTTTCGGTAAAATGATACATTCATAAACTTGCATAAATCTCCCTACTCTGGCTTGGTTAAAATTATATTTGCGAATATTGTGCAAGAAATGCCCACACGCGCTATTGGTTTAGAATCGAGGGTATTTACTGCTAGCATTTCGCGAATATAGATACGCTAGATTATTATTGTTGGTTTGTGTAAAATAAATAACCGCGATTTGTTTGTGTTAAATGCAATGGTTTAGAAATATTTTCATGTGCATCGAATTTTGTGAATTTGTAGTGTGGTGTTTGACTCATGTATTCGCGCCTTTAATAAAGAAAAAATGGAGTAGAGCTTTAATTTTGAAGTTCCACGTCGTTTAATAAATATATTCGTAAGTATTTCTCATAAAACATTCGAACATATTTTGATGCAACCATTCTGACCAGTTACCCGTAATACATGTTCTTGTTTTCTAAAAGTAACGTCGAACAGCTTTTGAATGGCTAGATTTTCAATAGATCTTAAGCTGAGTTTGCGCACCTTTGTTTCAGGTTTAGAATTGGATAGAATATTAAAATTTATGATATATTCATTAGTCCGGTGATGTGCTCTTTAAGCCATCTTTATTTATGGCTTTGACATGAAGAGTACAAGTGACCCCTGTAATGTAATGGTTTATTTTAATAAACTCATGTGACGTACGCCTGGCTACCATTACCTATGTAAAAGAAAATGGGCGAAAAAATCTAGTTATTAAACAAAATTGACGCCAACAAACGTTTTCTTAACTGATTAAAAATATGTATTAAACAACGGAACCAACAAACGTACTTATACAAGCACTGCTATTTTTACTTAGGTACCAGGGTTGCATAAAATAATTTATAGAAAAGTTTAATAAACTACAACAACTCCTTGAGTTTTGACAGATTATATTAAAATGCACCATCAATTTATACAGACAACATAAGACATCAACAAAAGTGTTTTTTGTTTTTGTTTTTGTTTTTTTCAAACACGCAGCAGAAATTCTTGAACACGAAACTCTTTAAAAAACATCTTAACAGGAGGGACTAGAAGGTTAATGCGAAAAAGTGAATGTTTGTTTTATTTCCTGGTATTTTTAAGTGTCGGCAGGTGTTTCCGTGTGGTCTCGATGTCGAAACATATAAATGAATATACATAAGTCCGAGGTTCCGATGGTGGCTAATTGATGTGGCTAATTGAAGTATATGTGGATTTGCATTATGACATATCTTGTGCTCCCTTGTTTGGGAGATTACTATTTTCTACATCTTTGTACTGCGTAAAAAGCGGGAGCTTAAAGAGGGAGTATACAAGGTTCTAAGGCAGCGGTGCAGGAGACGGGCGCGCCTAGGCAACCCCTTCAAAATGGCGAGACCGTAGAGCTGGGTTTCTACGACATCCACAAGCAGCCCGTGTGGACCGCAAAATGAACCCGAGTGCCTTGCCAAAGGTCGTCCGGAATTCATGATCTCACTTGTTAAACAGGAAGTCCCTGCCAAACGTTGACACAGTAGCTGTGTGAAATCCCGCGCTGGCATCCGCAAGGTGACGTCAAACTCCAGCCTATACGGGCTTCCTATACCTAAACCTTGTTTGTGTAACTTGAATCCAGGGCACAACTGTCTCATCCTTTAAGTGGTCCTGGTTTCGGATCATGCTCCTTCCATCGCCCGAGATGACATCGGTGTGTTGCGATTTCTGATTGTTTTTTTATTTATTTTTTATCGAGAAATTGGCCGCGTAATGATTTAGAGATTTCTAGGATGCCTCGAGCAAGCTGCGTGAGTTATCGCCATATTTAGGGGATCTTAGAAACCTCCTCAGGGCCCATTTAAGCATCTCCTGAGGGGCACTGTGACGCTACTGGCACTTAGAGAATTCGGAGGCGGAGCCTCTACTGCAGTCCTTACGTTGCAGCACACTATATAGCCACTATCACACTGCTGGTACGTCGTACGAAACAAAGTCTGAAAACACTGTGGTAGGCGTGTTTTTTTCTTGTATGACGGTCACATTCGCCGCACAATGACTGTCTGCGTACGAGCTTGGTGCGTACATATTCATAATGCGAACGGGCTTCGAGCATGCGTGGGGCGTCTCCACAGACAATGCTTGTCAACGTGTCTACAGATATCACCGAGTCTTGTTTGGGGAGTGAGACTGCGGCTTCAGAAAACACCTCTTACATTGCCTTTTGTTTTGCGCCTTTATAAAGTACAGTATAACTGGCCGGTTAGTAACGCGGCTGATTAAGCACTTTTCAGTGGAGTTTTGGCACGTTTTATAATATGTAAGAGATGGTGTTTTTTGGCATTATGTAACGTTTTAGCGCAGTGATGGATTTTATTTTGTATATTTATTATTGTTATTTTTTAGTACTGCTTAAGCATTGTTTGCGAATGGTTTTCTGGAAACACGGTATTTCAATTTCCTCAAAAATTGCTGGAATTAGACGTACGATGAAACTGCAATAAACGTATTTACGTAACATAATGTTCAATATTTTCCGTAGCAAAGTGGGATAGAATATAGTTATTGTACGTAATTCCGACGAGCGATTGATTATTACAAATTTATAAAATAAGCAAGAAACGCATCTCTTAATGTCAAACTTATTCCAGCCTTTATAAGAAAAAATAAATAATAAGAACAGGGACGCGAGGTTAATTTCCGCTTCCCTCGTTCATGTCAACGTCCCGGAAACAGTTGCGACTGCGCTTCACAAATAATTAAAAAAAATGTTCAGCAACAATTAATGATTACGGTACATGAACTTCCCGTTCACACACACACACACACACACACACACACACACACACACACACACACACATATATATATATATATATATATATAAGCTGATGTTGTTGAGAAGAAAATAAAAGAAAACAACACTCGAAATAAAAATCCAATTTCTTCGTAATAGCATTATGGACCACGGCTGACGTGAGGAGAGAAATGTGACCTGATGGCTTTATAAATTAAAGCGCTTAGTACGTGCTATAACTTAAAAAAAATATCTTACGTGGCAAAATTTAATTAGAGATTTGGACATCGTCGCTAAAATAAGCAGTAGCAGTTGTTCATAATTCACGAAGCAAAATTCTGATTTGGGTTATCGAGCTGGCAAATTTAGCCCGTGGAATGCCGTGGAGTTTCCGAAACTATGTATTTTGCGCAAGAATAATTAAATAGCGTGCCTCAAGAAGAGGCCAGTGTACGCTGCAAGAGCGGCCTTCGATTGATCGAGGGACGAACTAGGAGCTGCACTATTACTCTGGTTCATGAGATACTGAAAACGGCACTCGTCACACTCCAATTACCCCTCGGGTTTCTTTTCGTATTCTGTCTTTCACTCTCTTTCTCTCTTAGTTTCGGTGTGGCTGGCTCTAAAGTTTCTATATTCGCCACTCAAAATAATTCGAAAACCAGTATTGACCTTTTGTTTATCAAGCGATCGCGCTCTATCATTTATTTTTACGGCGGACTACAAATAGTGTTGATTGTTGGGCGAGTTATTGCTGGATTCGAGAAAACCCTAGTACCACCAGGAGACAAGGACACACACACTAACAAGCAAGACTGAAGACTTCCGTGCGCTTTCAGATCTACCCTATTAATCTGATTGAAACTTGATGGCTAAGATAAATATTTATAGAGGAATACTAAGCGAGTTTTCTTTCATAATTTTGCTCACTATCAGGTCACACTGTTGCCTCAACGTCCCCCAGTGCGGCCAATAGACTTACTGCTAAATTACCCAAGCATCAAGGAGAATGCAGGGATTGGTGATCCACGCGCCGCACGTGCTGGCCTCAGCAGTAGTAACTTTTCTAAAGCAAATTACTAAAACAAAATGCATCTTGCACGCGAGTTCGTCAGCGCTTTATTTTTATTTACTTCGACTCTTTTACACGGGGAAGGCGTGCGCGTGTGGCGCGTGGAACACCAATCCCTGCATTCTCCTTGATGCTCGGGTAATTTAGCAATATCTCTATAGCACTATTCCGAAGAGAACGTTTCGCAAACTTCAAGCGCCCTAGCGCAAGTGTAGCAGATACAGGAACCACGAGCTCCGAACTATCACCGTTCCTGCCAAGCACGCGCTCTCCTTCGCTGCAAGCGTCGTTCAGGGTGAACTGCTCTTGCCTGTAGCTTCGCCTCGCTCGCGCATAAAGTGAAACGAACTACTAAAAGAGTTTCAGAGGGACCGGCGCCGTTCTTCGCTTCGGAGCAGTTCGACAGCGCGCTGGTTGGCGTCGCCAGCATCGCGAACTTCGAACGGTTTCGGAGCTTGCCGCCGGCGTGCCGAGGGAGTTCAAAACTCTCTCCGGACCCGGGGACTCGGGTTCTAACATTCCGGCCGACCAGCGGAGGGACCCCTACGCGGCGGCGGCGGCGGCATGGCCTCCGAGTGCGTGACGTTCTCAACGCTGCCTCCCCGTAACTTCTCGGCGTTCAGCTCTCGGAGTAGTGGCACTCCCTGAGAAGCCTCGCAGAAGTTTAGTTTTCTCGTCTCTGGACAATCGGGACGCGCTGTCACGCAAGCATGGTTGATGTACGCGTCTGTCATTGGCTCGGGCCGAGGCTAATCTGTGTGTTCCTCCAAGTCACCATGCTCCTGTTCACTCTGGTCACGTCCGTTGCCGTGGGGAAACCCAAAGGTGAGTGCCACGTTACATACGATTTTTAAAAACGTGTAATGCTTACTTACTGTGACTGACTCAAACTTGGGCGTAAAAAAATGAGTTTAAAATGCTCCTTTGAATTGCCATCTCCTGTGGAGTTGGCCAGGGGCCAAGTTGATTTTGCCTTTCTGTCAAGCCGCGTTGTGGCATCTTCTCAAGGCCACGCTTCCGCGTGGTTTGTGAACAGCCGTCTCGCTCCAGCAGCGTGTCGGGCGCAGCGGAAAGGATACTGGCGTTCTAGCTCAGAACGACTGTGAGCTTTTAATGGCCGTGAGATCTTCCATGAAAGTGCTTGATGCTTTCGGCCTCTGAATTTTTTTTAGAAAAGACGCTGGCATCTAATAGTGGACCATCCATTCTAATAAGCTTGGGCGTCCTACGGTGATAAGCGTTTTTGAAAATACGGCGTTGCATTTACAAATCCCGATCACTAACGAAGCTAGATGGAATATAATTGCTATTTAGCGCCGAGGATGTTTTGTCATATTCACTTACACTGTATGTTTTTGTTTGTTTTTATATGTGGGAATACGCTCTATTCGCTATGTAAGTGCTTCCGTGGAGTACTGCGCTACATGGCAACAAGCATCTACCTTTTGGTGGTGCGTGGGCTCTTGTAAACCTCTTGAGCACTTTGTTGTTCTTGAGCACTTCGTTCTTTACGACTCTATCATGGCTAGTGAACACTGATCTTTCTGTTTCCGAAATTGGATGTTGCGATTGTGCTATAAATTGAACGTACCTCATATGTGCGCGATATGTGCGTGCCATTAACGCTTTCCACCAGTCAACAGACAGCTGCCTTGCAGGTGAATGGCAAGCGGCTCTTTGATTTTGCAGCGTCACATTGTTTGGACGGTGAACTGTTTCTAATTTCAGCCATCTTGCTCCTGATAATTCTTACGTTACAAATGTTTGTTCGTTCGGGTGGTGTAGATCTAACAAAATTTAGAGAGAAAACCTACTGGGTCACCCCGAGACATTCCTCAGGAAACTGATGGTTGCATTCTTAAACGCTACTCGACTCCAACTCCACCTCTACTCAGTCAAGTTGAGGAAAAATGCCGACATCTACTTAAGGAACATTTGGCTTCACATATGCCTCTCTGCGATTCTTCCACAAAGGAATTGCTCCAAATACTGTACTCCACTCCAGCGTTCCCGAGGATGTCCGGAGACGGGGTTATACAAGTATGCTTCATACAAAACTTAATTTTGATGCAAAATATAAATATTTGTCTTTGTTAAGTTTACAATAACCTGCTCTGCAAGCGCTTATTTCATGAATCTAAAGCCTTTCTCCAGCGAGAATGAACGTTTTAGTTATTTTATCGTTATGAAGAAACACAAGCGCTTTTCAGACTGCCAGCAGTGTGAAACAAAAAGCTGCCAGTTTTTTCCTTGCTCTAATTTGATTAAGCATCAAGCCCTTTTGCGGACCACTCTATTATAAGATGTGTTCTGCTTTGTGTTGTTTTAACTTGAGGCTACTAACTTACCCAGTTTTCGTTTTTGGTATCCTCCGAAATGTAGCCGTAACATTCACACCAAGTACCGATGCCACTTGACGACGGCTAACATATTTTATGTATTTTCGTTGGCGTAAAACTACAGTCATCTGACACAAAAAGTCATACTAAATGTGCCAGTGTCAGTGAAATCCGGATATTCAATACGGGAATTTCAGTGCGAGCTTGAAATTTAATTTCGATACTTTGTACGAGTGGGATCCAAGGCTAATAAATGTCCGCAAAATAGCTGCTGCATGATGGAAAAAACAGCACAGCTACAGGTATATAATATCCTCAATGTTGCATGGGGAGACAAAGCTAAAAAAAAAATGAAAAAAAGATGAGGCCTACGCACACAGTAGAGTTCGGCTACGTAGTCTTAACATTACGTGTTAATACGACCGCGAGTCGCTAGGATATTTATACTTCCTATGTCACCTCCTGAGCTACTGAATTGGTTGCCATGCCTGACGCACGAATGTACCGGTGTCTTGCGACCGTATCTCAACGGATTCCCTTATAACGTCGATTGAAAATACGTTTACTAATGCAGGTCTGGTACGACCGTCACTCTTGACCGACGTAGTCAACGGTAAAGTAGAATACTTGTTGGATGGGCTTTTGGCTATCGGAATTCTCCTCTTTGGTACCTTTCAGTCACGCAGCGTCGAGCAAGAAATTTTACTCCATTTAATAATTGTCTCAAATCGCAAGGTCCAATTCCGCTGCGATCCCCGGATACTTCACGAGGCGGTGGCACAACGTGCTGGAGGTGAGCCGCGCCGATGGCCCAATGACACGGCGCATTATATTGTGGGTTGCAACACATTTAACAGGACACGGTTAACCGTGCACCGGAATTTTTTAGCGCCGTAGAACTGTGACGCGATTAAGAGCTTGAGCACGTGAAAGACCGGCAGACCAAACATGTTTGAGCGAGCCAAATATGTTGGAGAAACCCTTATCAATACAATTAGGAAACAATCCAAGCCCGACGATAGTTTGTGCGCGCCGTCGTCACACGCGTGCTGGCTGTGACCTTGATTTATTTATTTATTTATTCTTATTTTCAGTGACCCACCAACAGCTTAACGCCAACTTGGTGGTGTACTTATCAACGAGTCAATGAGTAGAAAAAGGTAAAACAGGATAAAGTCGAAACGTTAAAAAAAAACAATAGCCTCAACACACTTTCGAAATTTACGCTTTTCATCAAAAATATCAAGGCTAGCATCCGCATAAATCTGTTCTAAATGGTTATAAGTCAGTTGTAGGCGTGTCATGGATGCAGCATGGGAAAAGTCTGTAGGGTAAAACAAAGTCTAAAGTCAACAAGACTGACGAGGAACGTGCAAGTAGATGTGACTAAGTAGCTCTGGGGAATCAATTATACCATTTACAATCTTATACAGATATGCCAGTCCACGAACTGTTCTGCTGTTGTGCGACGAGCCTAACTCCAGGAGTTGGCATATCCTCTTTTAACTGTAGAAATAATTCGGTTGAAAATATCGATCATACAATAGACGAACGAATCTACCTTGAACACTCTCAATTACACCTGAATTTGTCACTCCAATACAGTTCCAGACAACTGAGGCATATTCAACACGACTACGCACCAGTGAAGAAAACAAACGTAAAATACAAAGTGGTTTAGAAAAATCGCGTGTCACTCGTGTAATGGCACTGACTGAATTGTTTGAGCAGATTTCTTTTTCACGGACTGAATTGTTGTTCATGGAAAGTGAAAAGTTGTTTTACGTACATATCGTGCTAATGGCGATATGCAAATACATCGTGTGGACCGTGTTTTTTTTTGTTTTTTTTTGCAGCCTCTGTGTTGAATTATGACGTAACTGAATTGTGGAAAAATAGCAGATCATTTTTTTGCGGCTGGCAAGGTGCTAGGATTAAAGGGGGTTTTGCCAATAGTCTTACTTTTTTTAGCTGAACATTTCATATTGTAATTATGCTCAAACTATTTACTTCAGTTTTTTCTCGCCCAACCCAACTACGTCATATTTCAACATGGCAACCGTAACACGAAATTAGTCTATTTTAATAAATAAACACTTGAGGCCCGAAGTCGCCTCAAGTGTTCCTCAAAATCGCTTGACAATGCCACGACGTCGTCAAGGTAGACAAGACAGCTTTGCCATTTAGGACCAACCAGATGGTGTCCATAACGCGCTGAAATATTGCCGGTGTTGTGTATAGTTCGAAGGGCATTTAATTAATTTGTACAGACCGTCCGGTGTAACGAAGGCTACATTCTCGCGATCTCGTTAGCTGACTTCGATCTGCCAGTAGCTGCCGCTCTTCGAAGTCCATCGACGAAAAATATCGGGCGTGGCGCAGCCGACCTAGGGTGTCGTCGATTCGGGAAAGCGGGTAGAGATCTTTCTTCGTCACGGCATTTAGTCGACGGTAGTTCACGCAGAACCTCAGTGTTCCGTACTTCCTCTTTACATGGACAACTGGGGGCGCCAAAGGACTATTTGAAGGTTGGATAATGTCGTCGTCGAATATTTCCAGGACCTGTTCTTGTATCACCTCTTTCTGGTTTAAAGAAACCCGGTACGGCGACTGGTGAATAGGCATTGCGTCGTCGTTAGTAACAATGCGGTGTTTTGCTACCATCGTTTGTTGCACCCTTGATGACGTCGTGAAGCACTCGCTCAACTCGCTCAGAAGTTCAACTAGTCGTTGCCGTTCTCAAGCGAGCAGCTAGGGGTCGACGTCGAACTGTGAAGGCGGCGTGCTGTTGGACTTTGACGGCGAAGGTACCTTGGAGAGTGCGGTGAAGGCGCCCAACTTTGAAGTTGCTCGCAGTAGCCCACGGAGGTTGCCTTCGTTGGGTGCTGCGCAGGGTTGTAAAAGTTACTTCAAAAATGTACCTAAGATACAGTTACAGTTACTCATACGAAAATGTACCTAAATGCGTATCTAGCTACTCGCTTAAAAATGTTTCTAGGTACAGGTACAGTTACTTCAAAGGTATTTTTTATTTTCACGTGAAGTATTTTTCTCAAATTTGTCATATTATTATTGGAAATAAATCCTTTGTATACTGGGATGTACACAAAAACAAGTTTGATAAACGTGCTTTATTTGGGTCAATGGGAGAAATAAGGCAAAACGCTCACCAGAGCATTCGAAGACTTTGTCTTTTTCACTTGAGTGCTCGATTTGACCTCAGAATAAGGACTTCTTCGAAATGTTCTTCCGACATCTTCGATCGCAGTTTGGTAGCAATTGTTCCTCCTATGCTAAAAACGCGCTCCATCGCCGCACTGATTGGAGGCCCTGTGTTGAATTTTAAGAACACGCTTTTCAGCAGTGGCATGTGCTTGAAACAGTCCAGACTTCTTGTCGGAGCAAGTTTGGTGTGCTGTACAGTCGGCGAGAAACAGCCACCGGAGGAGCCTCCAACTCGGTAGAAGTTGGCAAATGGCAAAACAG